ATGAATAAATGGTGTCTATGATCAATTTACAATTAAAACCAAGGTAAGCAATAATTAAGTTAATAAAACAAAGGCAGAAATAATGCTTTTGAAATTTAAAATAAGAAACAATTCTCTTTATTTGATCCTACAGTTATGGAAAGGGAAATTTTATTTCAAAAGAATTAAGATTTACAGGCATTTGTAGACTGCTAAATGGGAGCAGAAATAATAATTATTACAGTTGGATATTGATGCGGGAGAAAATGAACTACTGAATGATGGACATATAAGCTGACAGATATCTCAGTGTAACCTGATAAAATACCTAAATTTAAGAGTAAAGCACGAATTTTAACCAACGTGTATCAGATGGTCTAAGATTTTGTGCAAGTAAGTCTTTACAATTGAAACATTAATAATTAATGTTAAATAAATATTTGTCTGTAACAACTTTGTTTTGATTTTATTTTCAAAACATTACTAATTACCCCATGAGAGCAAAGATACTGCAGATATTACTGACTGACTGAAGTTATTCACTTTTGTTTGATTTTATTTAATTCCTTTAAGCAAAAATTTTATAAAACGTGTCTAAAACATAATTTAGAACATATATGCTGTGAAACAAAGTTTTACCTATTACAATGAGATTTAAGGAAGTTAAAAAATATATGGAAGTGTATGTAATCACTGTAAGCATATTTCATCAATAAAAATTGGACAATATCTTATGTTAATACGACAAAAGATTTGTTTCAATATCTAAATGATAACAACACATTATGTTAGTTAATGCGTTAATTTAACTAAGACGCTGCTGAATACTTTCTACTTAGTGAAAAACCACAGAGCAGAAAACACGAATCCTACTTGCCAACGGTTTAAATTATATACAAAACACCGTTGTTCAACAATTTAAATTATTCCTTGGTGGCAAGTTGTTAGCAGGATGCTAATAATATATTATAAAACCTGGATTATTTACTGGTAAAAATGCCCTCTACTCCAAAGGAAGAGGTAGTAAATAGAAGAGATTTACTGCTCTGCGGTTTTTAAGTTTTCTTTGTGTTTTTTACATGACAAAAATTCGAATTCCACACTAAGATTTATTAATAATTTAATTCTATCACATATACTACTGTAGGGGCCATTTTACAAAGCATTTTTTATTATTTTAATCGCATTTTCAACACATTCTAAAATGTTTTGGGAGGGTCTCAAAAGTGATATCCGCATGACATCTACAGATAAAATATAATCATCTACTTGTAACGGAGTTGTATCACACAATTCATTGTTACGTGTAATACATGATTTGCAAACTTTAATTTTTGACTTTTTAATAACTTGCCCTGCCACATATCTTTTTATCTCCGTGACAATTTTATTTGAAACTTCTTGTGAATTGTTACCTGCCAAGTTTTGAACTATAAAATCTATACTAATTCTATTTTCCTTTGGGGGCAGAGGTAATTCATTTTTTGCTAGCAGGCAATCTAAATTATTTAAAACTTTATTAAAGTCTTCCTCACAATTTGCCCCAAGGAATATGTTGAACTCAAATTATTTACAAGTAATGTTTTATAAATACTTTGAAATTATAGACATGTAGGATTGTTGTTTCTAGCCCCGTGGCTTCTTACCGAGGAGAAAAACTTTTCCAAGGGATCTTGGTTAAAATTACGCATCAAGATACTTTTTACAATATATTTGTCAAATAAATATTGCAACAAACCTTTTATAGTGTCAATATTATCCAATTTTTATTGATGGAACTTATTCATAACTTATAGATGATGTAGCACTACCTCTTTTTTATCTCCGTTTTGAATCTCATTGACCTTAAAACTAGTAGAACTTAATTCCATAGTGCAAAATGATATGAATTTGGTTTTACACAATTTTTATAGATCTTGTATGTGTTCTTATAGGAACCTCCATTAAAAGATTCAAACAATTGATAAAACAAAAGAAGTATATCTGCCGTATCTTCACTTTCTTGTGGCAGTAACTTATTTTCTGCAAAGAAATAAAATGTTATGAGCACTTTTTAAATAATAAGAAGCAATAAAATGTTCGATATAAGAGAGAATGCGAGTAGAGATATCTCACAAAAAATAATTTCAACATTGAATATTATTTAACAAATTATATATACGTACTTGCACAAAATCGTAAAGCTCCTGATACTCGTTGGCTAAAAACTTGAGCTGCTTGTTTCACTTTCATTTAGGGAATTTTTTCAGGCATAACATGCAATTCTGTAAGCTTATTACACATTCTTAACTCATCTTCTCCTGCATCAATTTCCAACAGTAATTTTAAATGTTGCCATTTTGCTATTTTTACTTGATCATTCTAAATATACCTTAGGTCTTTTGATATTAAATTATACCTCACTCCTTTTAATAAATATGGCTTGTTGAATAGTGGGAATATATTAATAGCATTGCTCTTTTGTTCTTCACCTACTCTCAAATATTCTGCCTTTGTCTCTCTTAATAATTCATTTACTACCTTTGTGTTAATTGTTGATTGGTCACAAACAGTTGCAACAACAATTAACCCTGCCTGAAATATTTCTTTTATGATACTCTTTATTAATTTTTAAGAACTGTTGCATTTGTTGCACTTTTGCAAAAAGCAAAGCAAATAGGTTGCTTATATTGAATTTTTACACCCTTTAACATAAACACTAAAACATGATCAGCAATGTAGTCATTCCAATCATTTTCACCAAAATCTTGTGATGGTGAAAGTGACCTCATCAAACATTAACAAACATAAGCGTTCTTCCGTATTCAATTTTTGTGCTGCATCTTTTATTTGATGGAATACTATTGGGTTTAGACCTGGTTTCAAAGTTATTTTTTAAGGACATCCTGCAATGTCCTCTTTGAGGGCAAGGTAAATAATTTTCTAAGAAAATTATAGCCTTTCGGAGTTCTTTTATATATTGACAAAGCTAATAATTTTTCTTCAATATTAAAACGCCTTCCACGGCTTCTTTTATTGTGCTGAGTTAATTGCATATTTAGCAACGTCTGAGCAGACTTAGATAAGGTTTTCAGAACCTTTTGAAACAATTTTGTCTTCGCCATTTTCATTGCTGCTTTTATTTGACATTTTTGTTTTTTAATTTAATTTTCGTAATCATAATTTTGTTATTTTTTTTATTTTGACATCTGTACGCCTTCTTGTAATCAATGTACCTGAAAAAAGTACGACAATCAGGTATGCATATAGAGATCAAATGAAACAATGACAGCATAGACCAAATTGTATTGGAATCTCCTTTTTTAAGGAATGATTTTGAATTGCAACTTCTGCCTTATAATGATATAATATATATTATGCAATATGCTATTAGAATGCTTTTGGATCTGGCGCAGTGCTGCAGTATACACAGTGCAAAAATGTAGCATTTCCACTGCATGGCTTGCGGCCCAGTGATAACAAAATTTTGAAGTTGTATATACAAGAGTTGTAACCGCTTTCTACATTTGAACCATTATTAGTCGTACTTGTTATTATTATAGTAGTCTTTCTTATAGTCTTTCTTATATTATAGGAGCTGGCGCAGTGCTGCAGTGTACACAGTGCAAAAATGAAGCATTTCCACTGCATGGCTTGCGGCCCAGTGATAACAAAATTTTGAAGTTGTATATACAAGAGATGTAACCGCTTTCTACATTTGTGTACTTGTTATTATTATAGTGGTCTTTAACTTATCACACGGCAAACTTACTGGTATAGTAATAGAATATAGTTACAGTAATTACTAATTATTAATGTACGACCACTAGAGAATTTACTGATACAACTTGATCTTTCAAGAAAAGAACCTACTCTTTTTTTAAATGCCCCTGAATGTTGTGGTTCTTCATGGGCGGTGATAGTTACTTACCATCAGGTGAGCTGCATGATCGTCCCCCCCATCTCCTTTAAAAATAAATTAAATACCTTTTATGCGATTATCATGTGAAGTTGTGGCAGAATCTTGTGAAGCAAGTGTGTTCAGTATATGTGGTGTGGGTTCCGTATCTAATCCTTCAGCATGTAAACCTGTAATAGTAGTGAAAGTATATGAGTAACACAAAACTTTCTTTATTGAGCTTGTTTTATTCCCTGCTACATACCACATATATAATGATAATAATAATAATGTCCACCGGACCAAATTATAGTGCCCAAGTGTATGCGCAAGCACTGGTCATTACTATTATTTCCAATTTCTTAACTCTAACTTGAAAATTTAAAACTGCTGAGAATTTCTTGATAGAAATACCCAAAAACAGATTGCAGCTAGTTTTAGGTCATTTTCTATGGAGTTGTAACGAAATTTTTACCAATCCAAGTGTAATTAATAAGTTGGTATTTATTTTATTTATTTTATAGTATAGGGTGACAAACGAGCACACAGTCCACCTGATGGTAAGTGGTTACTGTGGCCCATAGATCTACATCTGTCCTCGAGTAGGAATCAAGATACGGATACGTTGTCACCTGTGAGGACTAAGATGGAATGCCTAGTTTCCAGAAAAAGGGTCTCCGGATCTCTATACTCACCATACGAAACACAACAGCATTGAGCTACTATTTGATGCTGGTATTCTGTGAGAGCGTTGTCCCTCCCCGGTCGGGCCGACCCATTCGTGCTATAACTATGGCTCTACCATGTAAAAGATGGTAGACTGTTACTTGTTAAAATTCGTTAACTTGTTAATTCTAATTTGATGCGATAGTTTTCCTTTTAACTTCATTATATATGCTACTATTGAGTATACTTTCCACATTTCCAAAAACAACAGTTTAGTTATATAATTCAAATAAAATGAAACTGCGGTGACTTTACCGCAGAATACATTAAGATTTATATCGTAAATTAGAGTCTGAAAGGCAGGAAATGGTTAAATTTCAAAATCAAAACATAAAATTTAACACATCTTCGTAATTTATTAATTAATTTTTAAATGTAGGTAATTATATATGTGTATTACAGTACGTAAGTGACCAAGCTACGAGAAACCACATCTAATCGTAATCAGATTACCAGGTTTCTCAGGGATGAAACCTATAGAAGATTAATTTGTTAAGTAAATCATTATCAAAATACACAACGTCATTCAAATCGCTAGTATCATTTCTTTTCAACTTTTTAATTGTAGTTTTATGAGATGGTTATGATGCTGTGACGACCCAATATTAATAAATAAATTCAATATAAAGGGGCATCAATTATTTTTTTTTTTTTTTTTTTTTTTTATATATATATAAAGCAAAAAATTACATTAATAAGCATAAAGTTCATATAAACACGTTTCAGACATTAGACCAATAACATAGTAAATTAAAGGCAAAATATTGTCTTTCATAATAAATAAATTTATTTAAGAAATTAGAAAAATATTTAAAATATGATAAATAATAGAAATATAAGTCAAAAATATTATAAAAATAAAGATAAATAACATTTATAAGATAATAAGAAAATTTGTTAAAAATTGTCTTAGTTGTGGAAGGAGTTCATGTATAAAAGAAAATTTTTCTAAGTTGTGGAAGGTGTTCATGTACAGATGTCTTGTATGGAAGAGCTGCCGGAGATACATACGTGCAGTTGTACATACATATGGGGTGGTCGGGAGCCCGACTGCTTGAAGTAATGTAGCACAATGAATAGTCCTATATTAGGGACTTATGATAATAAAATTAATGATACAAAAGCAATACTATAGAAGGTCTCTATGATGAATTTGCATTACAATAGTTGAATCGTGGGTTGAAGTCCTATATATTAATAAGTTACGAAAGTAAGGTCTATGATACAAAAGCATTATTAAAGAAGGTCTCCTTGATGCATAAGCATTGTATGGGGTGGTCGAGTGACCGACTGCTCATAGTACTATAGCAAAATGACTAGTCCGTGATAGGGACTTGAAAAGGATTATTATGTTGGCGTGTATGCTACTTCACGAGCAATTGGTCCGAGGTAAACTTGGACTCGCTAACCGATGTGTCCTAGACATATCATCTTAGTGTCGATGGTGAGCGGGTTTGTTGTAGCAATACGGCTTTCCCGTGGACATCGCACACCCATACCGTTTGAGGGCGGCGTCGTAGCGCATAGCGATGCGTCGTCTATCTTTCGGATTGGGGTGAGTGTGTTTGGTAGCACTTTTAAGTGTAACAGGCATACTCAACTTCATTTCTTAGTGCATTAGCGCTATGAAACGTGGAGTTTTGTTCACTGAGATCTTAGTAGTGTGCTACTATGATACGTTGGTGATATTTTTAGTTAACAACAATACGAACTCTGTTACCAAAGTCGATAGGGGTCATGTGGGTGTGTTGTGAGGGGGCGCCACCCGTATGATAGTTGCATTGATGCTTACTGCTATTAGCGGTACTGCATCTTGTGATAGTTTTGCGCGTGTGCTGCGCCTGATTCGACGCATTCCTGTGGTTCTGGTCAATGGAGATATACAATTAACAACATCTTACTAACGGTGGTAAGCGGGTTTGTTGTAGCAATACGGCTTCTGGAATACATACCGTTTGTGGTCGGCGTCGTAGCGCATAGCGATGCGTCGTCTTAGTAGCGTGCTACTATGATAGGTTGGTGATATTTTTAGTTAACAACAATACGAACTCTGTTACCAAAGTCGATAGGGATCATGTGGGTGTGTTGTGAGGGGGCGCCATCCGTATCATAGTTGCATTGATGCTTACTGCTACTTGCGGTATTGCATCTTGTGATGGATCTACGGATGTGCTGCGCCTGATTTGACGCACTCTTGTGGTCCTGGTTGATAGAGGTATACGGGTGGTGATATCTGCTGGGATGTATGGGGGACCTTGAGATGGTGTAATCCCAATCATAATCGTAATTATGCTCGTTACGTTCCGCAGCATTACGTCTCTGCGATGGTTGTTTGGCGGGTCGCTATTCTCAATGGCACTCTCTGCGTCTTGGTTTGACTCACGCCTGAGTAGCTTTGCCCAAGTCGGGTCCCTTCATTACGGGGCTGCAGACTGTCTGCCCTCCACGATGTTTTATATAGTAACATAATAATATATCTCTCTAACTTTCCCACCTTTGAATGATTGAAGGCAACTTGTTGGTGGGTGAGACAAACATAATCGAAAATGCATTCACTCAACGTCAGTGACACAAAACCTTTCTGATGGCAAATTATTACTAACAACTTATAACTGCCTTTTGGCTATATCTGCCGTTGTATTGGTTGATGGAGCATATGTGTCGACCTCATGCGGGTGGTAGCTGGTGGAAGGATCTGAGGAGACTCTCAAGGCTGCGGCCGAAAGCCGCACAACGTGGGACCCCATTCCCTTGAGGTGAGCGGTAGACTCATGACACGCTCTGCGGCTGGTAGCCGTGCTGATCATGCAATTGGTGGTAATGCCATACACTTACATCACGTCTGCAGGAGCGGCGGTGGCAGGTGGTGGCGCTCACGGAGGGTTTACGGCCAATGTGCCTATTTGCCTAAACCGTGTGACGTACATTCACTGTTGCTGGATTCGTTCGTATTCTGTATGGCGTTAACACGCAATGACATGCACGACTTCGGTCGATGTTTTTGCTTACGTACTAACAGGGGGCCAAGCCTCTTTTACTGGTTCGCCAGTTATTTTGCTGTGGACTACGGTCCAGTTCCCAAATTAACGTTCCCTTCGGGGGGAGTGCGTCAAAATGGTTGTAGCTCGCGCATGGCGTGTGTGGGGCCGTGTGCCTCCCCTACATTTTTTTAAATAAATGTAGGAGAGCGAAGCCCTTGTATCGGGTATTTTGTATAAATATATTGTGAGCTTTTTCTTCAATAATAATAAATTAACCAATGTAAACCTGATACAATTGGAATAGGGACGTTTTATGTTCTTAACATTTCTCGAGCCCTGTCTTCGTGAACGGGGTTCACTTAGCTTATAAGGCACCAACAGCTTGCAACAATTGCTCTAGTGAATATTTATTCTTCCAAAAGACACCTAAAAGAGCTAAGTTACAAAACAAACACAACGTAAATAAGGGTCCTAACTAAGTCGATCACGCCAAAATATTACAAACGGCCTATTATTAAATCTTTAGAAAGATCAAAACATATCTTATTTATCGTGGTCACATATATATAATTTTATTGAAAAGGGGTAAATTAATCATATATAATATATTTAATATTTAATATATTAATTTTAATATATTTATTGCTTGACACAGACTATTACGAAATAGAAGCTATTATCACAAACTTAAAAAATGATTCAGCCACGGGAATCGATAGCATACCTACCCTAGTCATAAAACGTGCCAAAAACAGTCTGATTCCCCCCATAACATATTTGTGTAACCTTTGTTTAAAAACTGGTGTTTTTCCAGATATTTTCAAGAGGGCTCTAGTTCACCCTATACATAAGAGTGGTGACAGAGACACTGTCGAAAATTACAGGCCTATATCTGTACTAAGTGCGATTGCCAAAATTCTTGAAAAAGTTTTAAATCTCAGATTCACAAATTTTCTTAAACATAACAATATAATTTCAGATAATCAATTTGGCTTTGTGAAAGGTACGTCTACTGAAGATGCAAATTTAATTCTAACTAAGACAATCGCAAAACATCTTGATAATAAGTTGAAAGTTATAGGTGTTTTTCTTGATTTGTCAAAGGCCTTCGACACTCTCTATTCCCCTAATTCTGCATAAGATGGAACTGATCGGCGTACGAGGAATTGCTTTAGATATATTTCGATCTTATCTATCTAATCGCAAGCAGTTAGTTAAAATCGTTGATTACACTAGTTTACCTATTACTGTCTCGTTCGGTGTACCACAAGGTAGTGTACTAGGCCCAACTCTCTTTCTAGTTTACGTAAATACTTTATGTTCACTTACCTTGTCTAACTGCAAAATCATTTCGTACGCAGACGATACGGCTTTAATTGTATATGGTAAGGACTGGAATGAAGCCCAACACAATACAGAATATGCGCTTGGAAGGGTCATGCGGTGGCTTAGTTGCAATCTATTGACATTAAATGTAAACAAGACTAAATATATTACTTTCACTCACCGTGCCAGTATCCAACCATCGGCGGAATTTTATATCAATGCACATACATGTGAACAACATAGCTTATGCAACTGCCCAAAACTTACTCGTTTCACTAACATAAGATACCTCGGACTTATCATTGACTACTGCCTATCTTGGTCAGAGCATATAAACAATGTAACCTGCCGTATTAGAAAACTGATACCTGATATTCAGAAAATTGAGGAATTCTGCTGACTTTGAAACATTGATATATGTTTACTATGCTCTTGCTCAAAGTTTACTACAATACTGTATTGTAACATGGGGTGGAATTGGAAAAACAAATTTACTCCCCTTAGAACGTGCTCAAAGAGCAATCTTAAAGGTAATGCTAGGTAAATTACAAAGATTTAGCACCGAACTTATTTTTAAGGAATGCTCTGTACTTACTGTAAGACAGCTTTTTGTCATGTCTGTTATACTACGTAAGCACAAAAATACAGAGTTTAAACCTAATTTAAAACGTAATAAAAATAGAATTTGTGACATGGTTTCTCATAGAACTGCTTTAGCACGTCGTCAATATTATGTCACTAGCAATTATTTATATAATGTAGCAAATAAAGTAAACAATATTTACCCTTTGTCCCTTTATAAATGTAAAGATAAAATCCTAAATTGGTTGCTAAGCCTTAATTACCTGGAAACAGAGAAGTTAATCAGTATTTAAGTTCTAACACACACACGCGCGTACACACACATTCACACAAAAACACATACTATTACATGCACATGCACATGCACACACACACACGCACACGCACACACACACACACACACACACACACACACACACACACACACACACACACATATTGGTTTTATTATTATGGGATATCTATATAGTTTTCTCATCTGGTTGGGTTCTATAAATATATAATTATAAATGAAAATGAAAAGATAAATATACATAAAAATCAATAACATAAAATAAATATAAAAGTACATAAATAAGTAAAAGCCCAACCAGATGGAGGCCCTCGGCAGGGGGAGACCAAACGGCCGAGGGTTAGGGGGAAAGGGAAAGAAACCGGCGGACGATGCGGGCGGTATCGAGGAGCACCGCCTTCTGCATTTGAACCTGGAGCGGTCCGCCACGTAGTCCCAGCCGCCTCAGATGACCCGAGAGGCTGACTGGGATTAGCCCGTTTGCAGAGACGACTACAGGAATAATTTCGGTCGGCAGACCACCCCACATGTCGGTCACCTCGTGAGCCAGGTCCAGATATTTTGTTTGCTTGTCTGTTTCGGCTTTCACGAGGCTCTCGTCATACGGAATGGTAATGTCGACCAAAAATATCCTTGACTGTGCCCGGTCCATCAGCACAATATCAGGCTTATTCGCAAGAATAGTCCTGTCTGTGATGATGGCCCGGTCCCAATAGAGCCTGGCGCGATCATTTTCGAGCACGGCTTCCGGCAAGTACTTGTAATACGGCAATTTCCGTTCCACGAGACCGTATTTCAGAGCGAGCTCCTGGTGTAGAATTCTGGCTACTAGGTTGTGCCTGTGCAAGTACTCAGAGTTAGAAAGCGCCGAACAACCGGAGATAACATGCCTAAGTGACTCACCGGGATGGCGACAAGCTCGACAGATGTCGACGGTGCCATCCTTTAGGATGTATCTCCGATAGTTGTTGGTCTTAATAACCTGATCCTGTATTGCACAGACGAAACCCTCGGTTTCCCCGAAGAGATCACCAAAGCGTAGCCAGTGGAGGGAGGCTACTGTGTCTACGAAAGGCTCATGTAGAGCCTTGTAGAACCTCCCGTGGAGCTCCTTCTCCTTCCATACGGTCTCCCGGTCGGAAATGCTCTGCACTGCCGGGTCTTGCCATTGCTCGTTGGCTAAGGATAGAGGGGTAAGTCCTTTATCACAAGAAATGACGTCCTTATAGAATGGATCATCCGATCTCGCAAGGAAGTAATCACGGAGGCTGCACACTTCGCGATTATGCATGGTGAGCGCGCTCAAGAAGCCACGACCACCATGCTTCCGCGGCAAGTACAGCCTCATTACCGACGATCTCGGATGATGCATCCTATGGGACGTCATGGTAGTGCGGACTTTTCTAGCCAGGGCGTTAAGTTCAGTCTGAGTCCACCTGAGTATGCCAAAGGTATACATGAGGACAGGCATGACCCAACCGTTATATGCGTGTGCCTTATTCACACCGGACAAAAGGCTGTTAAGCACTTTGGTCAAGCGTGCATAAAACACGTCGCAAACTGACTGTTTCATACCAGCCTCATCGATACCGATGTTCTGTGACATACCCAGGTATCGGTATGTTTCAGCCTCGGAAAGGGTTCTTAAGTTGACGGGCAAAGATAAGTCTATGCCCTCAGAGTTAGCAACCCTTCCCCTTTCAACATGGAGGACCGCACACTTATCCGTCCCCAGCTCCATTCTAATAGAATTGCTAAATACACACGTGATGTTTAGCAATTGCACAAGATGGGAGCGACTGGAGGCGAATAATTTGAGGTCATCCATATAGAAAAGGTGGGTCACTTTTGTACCTCCTTTCCGAAGCTGAAATCCCCTCCCGGAGCCCTCCAGTAAAGTACTGAGAGGGTTCAAAGAGAGGCAGAACCAGATTGGACTCAGACAGTCGCCCTGGAATATACCCCTTCTTATCCTTATGCGGCTTTCCGCAGCCGTCATCCGCTCGCCTAGATGACAGAGGATCGTACTCCACTGCCCCATATACTGCTCGAGGAAGTCTCGAACTGTACAGTCAATCTTGTACAGCTCGAGGACCCTCTTTAGCCATGTATGGGGCACCGAGTCAAATGCCTTTCTGTAATCTATCCAGGCGGCGGAGAAGTTCCGACGGTTGCGTTTCACCACTTTGCCAATGACCGCGTCAATGAGGAGTGGTTCCTTGGTTCCACGACCGCCGCCCCGACATCCATTTTGAGCGCGCGACATCACCTGATTTAAGTCCAGGTGACGAGCGATTCTTGCGCTCAAAATGGATGTTAGTGTCTTGTATATGGTCGGTAGACACGTGATGGGGCGGTATTTGCTCGGGTCTGTGGCACCCTGATCTTTAGGAACCAAATGAGTGATCCCAGTAGTGAAGAGGCTTGGGAGCGACTTCTGGTTGAGAGCCTCTTGAAACTGTCGGGCGAGCACAGAGTGACACACCATGAACCCCTTCAGGCAGTAGTGATGCAGCCCGTCAAGCCCCGGACTTTTCCAGTTCGGGGCCCTACGGACCGCCTCAGCTACGTCATCCGGCGTTATGATGACGGGGTCCATGGGCGTAATACTCGCACACTGACTCACCACAACTTCCGTCCAAGGGCCCTCGTTGTGGTTTACGGGCTCTGACCACAGGCTGCGCCAGAATGCGACCATGTCGGCCTGATTTGGTGCAGGGCCCGTTCCACTTACTATTGGTCGCTCCAATGATTTATAGAGCCTCTTCTGATCACTCTGGAAGAGACGATTCTGGTTGAACCGTGTCGACCTCTCGGTATATCGCCGAATCCGCTTTCCCCAAGCAGCTATTCTTTGCTTCAGGTCGTCTATGCGCTCCGTCAGTTTTTGCATTATATCCGGCTGGGACAAACTAACATTTGTCCCAGCAAACGCCATTCTGACGGTGCGCACAATCCTTGGCCTGGTATTGCCTGACCTGAAGCATATCAGTCTGCCGATGAGGGCCCTAGCCTTTGCGATACGTTCTTCAATTCTTATTCTCCAGGCTGGGATAGCACTACTTTGTCCAGTAGCGCGTCCAGCCGTGGAAAGTTTGGCACCTATAATACGGCAGACTGCCAGTGCGGCGCCAAAAAGAATTGAGTCCGTATCGCAAAGGTCCCGGCTGGCTTCCAAATAGGTAACCAGCATTGGGTTCAGAGCCCTCACGACAGCCCGATTCTGCTTGCTTAGGGCTAAGCGGGGAAGTCGCGGTCGATTTTCGAGAGACGTACTGCGCGTTTCCACAATCGCCTCTTCCAATGTACTCCTCATTTGCTCTAGTTCCAGTTCCTGGGCGACTGTTCCATCATCGTTTGAATCAACCACAACTGGCGTATTCACGGCGTGATTCACATTTGCCGTTTGCTCAGCAAGTTGTGGCGCCGCATCCTCAGCCGCAGCATTTTCACCCGATGAAGGAACAGCCTCACGTCGTAGCCGTTCGTGTTCGCTAACATCAAATGTATTTGAGCGCAAGATATACCGAACTCGGTCTGCCAGGTTTTGCTCGGTGACGGTTACAGATGGCTCCAGCTCAGCAAAAAGTCGATGCATCCTTGCCCGATACGCAAAACCTCCAGTTTCTCCCCCTTTCGCCCTAAAATACGCCCGCAATGCGTTGCTGTTCATCTGGGTTGTCCAACGCATGCGGCGTACTCCACCAGTGGCGGGTGCCGATTGCTGAGCCCGCGAAGACCCTGCCAACACCAAGCCAGCTGGTGGGGATGATGGATGCGAGGATCTGCTGGGTGGTCGTGCAGCACCTCGCGCTCGGCTGGCGGTTCGCATGCTGTCGCGTCCAGCGCCAGCTCCAGACGCGCCCTGGCGATCTCCAGGCAGCGGCCCTTTGCGCGTTCCATTTGATTCCATCATCCATTTTAGGGCGTCATTTAGCGGGAGACGCCCAGACCCGGCGCCGTTTCATGGTTAGGCCATGTGCACAAACGGGCCTTGGCACCTTCAAATTTTGCCGAGGCACGGCACTAACACCTCTTGGCAAGGTGCTGACTGACTGCGCCGACGTAGCGGTTTTGTCACATAACCGTTATATCAGCGGGCGATGGGGTCGTCACTTCCCTACGCCTTATCGTCACTTCCCAACGCCTTATTATTATTTGGGGTATCTGTATAGTTTTCTCATCTGGTTGGTTTCTATAAATATATAATTATAAATTAAAATGAAAAGATAAATATACATAAATATCAATAAAATAAAATAAATACAAAAAAATACACAAATAAATAAAGATCCAACCAGATGGAAGCCCTCGGCAGGGGGAGACCAAACGGCCGAGGGTTAGGGGGAAAGGGAAAGAAACCGACGGACGATGCGGGCGGTATCGAGGACCACTGCCTTCTGCATTTGAGCCCGGAGCGGTCCGTCACGGAGTCCCAGTCACCTCATATGACCCGAGAGGCTGACTGGGATTAGCCCGTTTGCAGAGACGACTACAGGAATAATTTCGGTCGGCAGACCACCCCACATGTCGGTCACCTCGTGAGCCAGGTCCAGATATTTTGTTTGCTTATCTGTTTCGGCTTTCACGAGGTTCTCGTCATACGGAATGGTAATGTCGACCAAAAATATCCTTGACTGTGCCCGGTCCATCAGCACAATATCAGGCTTATTTGCAAGAATAGTCCTGTCTGTGATGATGGCCCGGTCCCAGTAGAGCCTGGCGCGGTCATTTTCGAGCACGGCTTCCGCCAAGTACTTGTAATACGGCAATTTCCGGTCCACGAGACCGTATTTCAGAGCGAGCGCCTGGTGTAGAATTCTGGCTACTAGGTTGTGCCTGTGCAAGTACTCAGAGTTAGAAAGCGCCGAACAACCGGAGATGACATGTCTAAGTGACTCCCCGGGATGGCGACAAGCTCGACAGACGTCGACGGTGCCATCCTTTAGGATGTATCTCCGATAGTTGTTGGTCTTAATAACCTGATCCTGTATTGCACAGACAAAACCCTCGGTTTCCCCCGAAGAGGTCACCGAAACGTAGCCAGTTGAGGGAGGCGACTGTATCTACGAAGGGCTCATGTAGAACCCTGTAGTACCTCTCGTGGAGCTCCTTCTCCTTCCATACGGTCTCCCGGTCGGAAATGCTAAGCACTGCTGGGTCCTGCAATTGCTCGTTGGCCAAGGATAGAGGGGTAAGCCCTTTATCACTAGAAATGACGTCATTATAGAATGGATCATCCGATCTCGCCAGGAAGTAATGACGGAGGCTGCACACTTCACGATTATGCATAGTGAGCGCGCTTAGAAAGCCACGCCCACCATGCTTCCGCGGCAAGTACAGCCTCATTACCGACGATCTCGGATGATGCATCCTACGGGACGTCATGGTAGTGCGGACTTTTCTATCCAGGGCGTTAAGTTTAGTCTGAGTCCACCTGAGTATGCCAAAGGTATACATAAGGACAGGCATGACCCAACCATTATATGCGTGTGTCTTATTCACACCGGACAAAAGGCTATTAAGCACTTTGGTCAAGCGTGCATAAAACACGTCGCAAACTGACTGTTTCACACCAGCCTCATCGATACCGATGTTCTGTGACATACCCAGGTATCGGTATGTTTCAGCTTCGGAAAGGGTCTTTAAGTTGACAGTCATAGATAAATCTATGCCCTCAGAGTTAGCAACCCTTCCCCTCTCAACATGGAGGACCGCACACTTATCCGTCCCCAGCTCCATTCCAATGGAACTGCTAATGCAGATTTTTAGCAATTCCACAAGATGGGAGCGACTGGAGGCGAATAACTTAAGGTCATCCATATAGAAAAAGGTGGGTCACTTTTGTCCCTCCTTTCCGTAGCTGAAATCCTCTCCCGGATCCCTCCAGTAAGGTACTGAGAGGGTTCAGGGAGAGGCAGAACCAGATTGGACTCAGACAATCGCCCTGGAAGATACCCCTTCTTATCCTTATGTGGTTCTCCGCAGCCATCATCCGCTCATCCAGATGACAAAGGATCGTACTCCACTGCCCCATACACTGCTCGAGGAAGTCTCTCACTGTACAGTCTATCTTGTACAGCTCGAGGACTCTCTTTAGCCATGTATGGGGCACCGAGTCGAATGCCTTTCTGTAGTCTATCCAAGCGGCGGAGAAGTTCCGACGGTTGCGTTTCACCACTTTGCCAATGACCGCGTCAATGAGGAGTGGTTCCTTAGTTCCACGACCACCGCCCCGACATCCATTTTGAGCGCGTGACATCATCTGATTTAGCTCCAGGTGACGAGTGATTCTCGCGCTCAAAATGGATGTCAGTGTCTTATATATGGTGGGTAGACACGTAATGGGGCGGTATTTGCTCGGGTCTGTGGTAACCTGGTCTTTAGGAACCAAATGAGTGATCCCAGTAGTGAAGAGGCTAGGGAGCGACTTCTGGTTGAGAGCCTCTTGAAACTGACGGGCGAGCACAGCGTGACACACCATGAACCCCTTCAGCCAGTAGTGATGCAGTCCGTCGAGTCCCGGACTTTTCCAGTTCGGGGCTCTACGGACCGCCTCAGCTACGTCATCCGGCGTTATGATGACGGGGTCCATGGGCGTAATACTCGCACACTGACTCGCCACAACTTCCGTCCAAGGGCCCTCGCTGTGGTTTACGGGCTCTGACCACAGGCCACGCCAAAATGCGACAGTGTTAGCCTGATCCGGTCCTGGGCCCGCTCCACATACCTCTGGTCGCTCTAATGATTTGTAGAGCCTCTTCTGATCACTCTGGAAGAGACGATTCTGGTTGAACCGCCTTGACCTCTCGGTAAATCAGCGAATCCGCTTCCCCCAAGCGGCAATCTTTTGCTTCAGGTCGTCTATGCGCTCCGTTAGTTTCTGCGTGATATCCGGCTGGGACAAACTGATATTTGTCCCAGCAAACGCCATTCTAACGGTGCGCACAACCCTCGGTCTATTATTACCCGACCTGAAGCTTATCAGTCTGCCGATAAGGGCCCTTGCCTTTGCGATACGGTCCTCAATTCTTTTTCTCCAGGCTGGGATGGCGCTACTTTGTTTAGTAGCGCGTCCAGCCATGGGAAGTTTGGCGCCAATAATACGGCAAGCTGCCACTGCGGCGCCAAAAAGAACTGAGTCCGTCTCGCAAAGGTCCCGGCTGGCTTCCAAATAGGTTACCAGCATTGGGTTAAGAGCCCTCACGACAGCCCGATTTCGCTTGCTTAGGGGTATGCGGGGAAGTCGCCGTCGATTTTCGAGAGGCATGCTGCGCGTTTCTAAAATCGCCTCTTCCGATATTCTCCTCATTTACTCTAGTTTGTAGGAGACCATTTCATCATCGTCTGAATCACCCACAACTGGAAGATCCATGGCGGCTTCTACGCGTGGCAGCTGGTCTGTCGCCTGAGGAGCCTCATCCCCAGCCGTAGCCAATTCATTCGATGAGGGAATGGCCTCACGTCGTAGTCGTTCGAGCTCGGCATCATCGAATATTTTCGAGCGCATGATGTACCGAACTCGGTCTGCCAGGTTTTGTTCCGTGACGGGAATAGACGGCTCCAGCTCAGCAAAAAATGCATAAAACACGTCGCAAACTGACTGTTTCATACCAGCCTCATCGATACCGATGTTCTGTGACATACCCAGGTATCGGTATGTTTCAGCCTCGGAAAGGGTCCTTAAGTTGACGGGCATAGACAAGTCTATGCCCTCAGAGTTAGCAACCCTTCCCCTTTCAACATGGAGGACCGCACACTTATCCGTCCCCAGCTCCATTCCAATGGAACTGCTAAATTCACAAGTGATGTTTAGCAGTTCCATAAGATGGGAGCGACTGGAGGCGAATAACTTGAGGTCATCCATATAGAAAAGGTGGGTCACTTTTGTCCCTCCTCTCCGTAGCTGAAATCCCCTCCCGGAGCCCTCCAGTAAGGTACTGAGAGGGTTAAGAGAGAGGCAGAACCAGATTGGACTCAGACAATCGCCCTGGAAGATACCCCTTCTTATCCTTATGTGGTTCTCCGCAGCCGTCATCCGCTCGCCCAGATGACAAAGGATCGTACTCCACTGCCCCATACACTGCCCGAGGAAGTCTCTAACTGTACAGTCAATCTTGTACAGCTCGAGGACCCTCTTTAGCCATGTATGGGGCACCGAGTCGAACGCCTTTCTGTAGTCTATCCAGGCGGCAGAGAAGTTCCGACGGTTGCGTTTCACCACTTTGCCTATGACCGCGTCAATGAGGAGTGGTTCCTTAGTTCCACGACCACCGCCCCGACATCCATTTTGAGCGCGTGACATCACCTGGTTTAGCTCCAGGTGACGAGTGATTCTTGCGCTCAAAATGGATGTCAGTGTCTTATATATGGTGGGTAGACACGTGATGGGGCGGTATTTGCTCGGGTCTGTGGTATCTTGATCTTTAGGAACCAAGTGAGTGATCCCAGTAGTGAAGAGGCTCGGGAGTGACTTCTGGTCGAGAGCCTCTTGAAACTGTCGGGCGAGCACAGCGTGACACACTACGAACCCCTTCAGCCAGTAATGATGCAGCCCGTCGAGCCCCGGACTTTTCCAGTTCGGGGCCTTACGGACCGCCTCAGCCACGTCTTCTGGCGTTATGGTGATGGGGTCCATGGGCGTAATACCCGCACACTGACTCGCCACAACTTCCATCCAAGGGCCCTCGCTGTGGTTTACGGGCTCTGACCACAGGCCGCGCCAGAATGCTACAGTGTCGGCCTGATTCGGTGCTGGACCCGTTCCACTTACCATTGGTCGCTCCAATGATTCATAGAGCCTCTTCTGATCACTCTGGAAGAGACGATTCTGGTTGAACCGTGTCGACCTCTCGGTATAATGCCGAATCCGCTTTCCCCAAGCAGCGATTCTCTGCTTCAGATCATCTATGCGCACCGTCAGTTTTTGCGTTATATCCGGCTGGGAAAAACTGAAATTTGTCCCAGCAAACGCCATCCTGACAGTGCGCACAATTCTTGGCCTGTTATTGCCTGATCTGAAGCATATCAGTCTGCCGATGAGAGCTCCAGCCTTTGCGATACGTTCCTCAATTCTTCTTCTTCATGCTGGGATAGCGCTACTATGGCCAGTAGCGCGTCCAGCCGTGGAAACCTTGGCGCCTATGATACGGCAGACTGCCAGCGCGGCGCCAAAAAGAATTGAGTCCGTCTCGCAAAGGTCCCGGCTGGCTTCCAAATAGGTTACCAGCATTGGGTTCAGAGCCCTCACCACAGCCCGATTCCGCTTGCTTAGGGCTATGCGGGGAAGTCGCGGTCGATTTTCGAGAGGCGTACTGCACGTTTCCACAATCGCCTCTTCCAATATACTCCTCATATGCTCTAATTCCAGTTCCTGGGCGACTGTTCCATCATCGTTTGAATCAACCACAACTGGGGTATTCACGGCGGCATCCACGTTTGCGGGGTGCTCTACCATTTGTGGCGCCGCATCCTCAGCCGTAGCATTCTCATCCGACGAGGGAACAGCCTCACGTCGTAGCCGTTCGAGTTCGGCGACATCAAATATATTTGAGCGCAAGATATACCGAACTCGGTCTGCCAGGTTTTGCTCTGTGACGGTTAAAGATGGCTCCAGCTCAGCAAAAAGACGATGCATCCTAGCCTGATACGCCAAACATCCAGTTTCTCCCCCTTTCGCCCTAAAATACGCCCGCAATGCGTTGCTGTTCATCTGGGTTGTCCAACGCATGCGGCGTACTCCACCAGAGGCGGGTGCCGATTGCTGGGCCCGCGAAGACCCTGCCGACACCAAGCCAGCTGGTGGGGATGATGGATGCGGAGGGCTGCTGGGTGGTCGTGCAGCACCTCGCGCTCGGCTGGCGGTTCGCATGCTGCCGCGTCCAGCGCCAGCTCCAGACACGTCCTGGCGACCTCCAGGCAGCGGCCCTTTGCGCGTTCTATTTAATTCCATCATCCATTTTTAGGGCGTCATTTAGCGGGAGACGCCCAGACCCGGCACCGTTTCATGTTGAGGCCATGTGCACAAGCGGGCCTTTGCACCTTCAATTTTTGCCGAGGCACGGCACTAACACCTCTTATTATTATTTATTATTATGAGAGGGGGGAAGCGTTACAGTTCCATCTATGCGAAACCATGAAATCCACATAGCATTGTCTATAGCTACCAGTACTTCCAGTAGACCCCAACATGGTAGGGTTATATTCTCTCTTACGGTTTCACAAGAAAAGTTAAAATAAAAAATTAATAGAGCTAATGAAATTTTCTTATATAATATTAGTTGCTTGATTAATTAATGAAAGAAGAGTGTGGTTTGCAAGATGATGTTGTGACCAGGATTAAGAAAGGAATGCTTCGGTGGTTTGGTCATGTGGAAAGAATGAATGAGGAAAGAATGACAACGAAAATTTATGTTGCAGAAGTGAATGGCAGAGTCGGTAAGGGACGTCCTAGGCGAAAATGTATCGACCAAATTGGCAATTTACTGAAAACGGGCCAAATTAGGAGTACCCTTAACCGACGAGCATGTATGCGTAGGTATATGTATGTGAAGGAGGCGAGAGAGGTGTGTCAGGATCGTGCCAAATGGAAGTCTGTAGTCTCTGCCTACCCCTCCGGGTGACAGGCGTGAGTGTTTATGTCTATTAGGTCTATTATAATTAATGTGAGGGGTTTATTGGAAACATGACTGCAACAGCTCAAATGTTAACATTATCTAGTGTGCTTCGAGATAAGCTCATCTAAGTAGTGGAAGCGGCCCTATATACCTATTGATGCAATTTTTTTAGACTTATAGCTTTGTCTTCTCCGGCTAATACTTCGTATTTCTTCAACCCGGGGTACAAATTAGAACATTACTTTGTGCCCTAGGCTGGATTTGCGTGTACAAGGGCTGTCCAAGGGAACTTCTGTCAACCGTCTCTTTCACCTCTGCACAGGGAGAACGACTCACTGATCCATGCCACAAATGCCAAAGTCGATAATAAGATAAAATAAGTAAGTTAAACGCGATAGAATCCGTAAATAGATTTATTCAAGGGTTAATTCCTTTTCAGAAGCTACAATCACCTTATACTACTGTAATATTCTAATTTGAGATTTTACATACCAAACCTTTCTTTAAACTAGCACTATTAGATAAGTTCGTCTCACGTTTTATAAATAGAACTAATAAAACAAATAAATAAAAACAGTGGTTGTTCTTAGTCTACTAGAATGAAATGTAATTGCAATTTTAAGTACTGGCTTACCAAGTTTGGTGGTAAAGGAAATATCGTCATGAAACCTGCATATCTAAGAAATAATATTTTGCAAACATCTAAATTTCGCTAACGAACACTGGAGCAGCGCGGCGAATTAATTACTCCAGAACAGAAATGAGAGTAGTAGATTAGTCTTAAGAATTAAGATATATAATAATAAATGTATACAACATATATATGTAAACACTCACTCCTGTTACCCAGAGGGGTAGACAGAGAATACGGATTTTTACTTGGAGCGATCCTGACACTATTCTCTCGTCTTTTTTACATCCATATACCTACGTACACATGTACGTCGGTTAAGGGTACTCCTAATCTGGCCTGTCTTCAATATTATACAACTATTCTATACAACTTGGTCGATAAACTTTCGTCTAAGGCTTCCCATCCCTAGTCTGCCGTTCATTTTTAAATACAACATGCAACATAAATTTTCTTTGTCACTCGCTCGTTAATTTTTTCTACATGACCAAACCACTGAAGCGTTTCTTTCTTAATGCTATGTATCTTTATGTTGGTTCAGGAGGATTCTTAAAACAGTAAATATTTATGGTAAATTATTATTTTATCTTATTTCAGCACACGTACAATAATTCAGCAAACGTAGGGATGTGAAGTCCAGGCGCTGATTTTGCAGGGTCGCAGACAGCCAGCTAGCGAAAGGAGCCAATGATACCCATGTCCGACGAAGTAGATGTTAGGTGGATCCTGGAATACCAGACGAGGCCAGTATTAGGGAAAATTATAAAGCACCCCTTCTATATGTTTAAGTTAAAGTTAAAAATAAGTTTAGTTTAAAAAAATCAAAGCACTAAACAGCCTCAGCAGAAGAGATAGGAATTAAGCAAAACAGTTACAATATTTTCTATTGTAAAAATATATAAGAACTCGCCCTAGCGGAATCAAATGCACTTTGAATAGTAAAAAATTTTGAAAGTAGTGTCAAGCGCATAGCGAATTTCAAGCAGTCTCCTATAGAATAAGTAAAATGCGTCGAACGGGCACTAGTGCGCGTCTCCAAATCCTACCGACCACTTCCGATTCAGAGATCAGTGAACAACGGTTTACGAGTGCGCGGATTAAAATAACTACATATTTTAAGGTACTGTCAAATATTTTAAAACTTGATTTGTTTTTATTTTAAAATTAGAATATATTTATTTAAGATATATTAGTTTATTATAATTATTTGTAAGGGTGAATTCACATGCACCATTATACCTGGTCACAACATCATCTTGGAAACCACATTTTTCTCTTATCACACAATATATCTTCCTGTCGTTCCGATTCAGCCCGAACATACTGTATAATAATGACCGCATAATAATGTCCTCTGGACTGAATTTCGGTCATGGCATAGAGTCTCAACGGAGACTAATAATCTGCGCAGGACAAGATTATAGTGCCCGAGTGTATGCGCAAGCACAAGTCCACTCTTCATTCCCTCACTCTAGTAGTCCGATTGGACAGTTATCTGTCACGGCTAGAGAGAAATCAGACGCAGGACCAACGGCTTTACGTGTTTTCCAGGGCACAGGGTTACAATACCGTCAAATTCCTGATAATTTCTTGACAGAAATGCCCACTAATTAATTTTGACCGGACCCGGGATTCGGATATCATGATCAGTAATCGTGCTTAAATCAACTACAATAACGAAGCAGCCGGGCAACAAAAACATGTAAAAGATTATAGTGGGCACTAACACAGACCCACTTCTAGGCAGACTGGGCTTCTAGTAATAGACTAATTATGTTTAACCACGATAGCAAGTTAATTTTGTATATTTATCTTATTAAATAGGTACTACCCACCAACCACATCATGGATGCACTGGAAAAAAATTTCGACTGGCGTTAAATCCGCTTTTTATAAATTTATGATTAATACAGCTGTGTTTTTAAATAGGTGAACAACATTTTTTTCTTGTCCTTCGTAAAATAGTCTCCCGTTACAATTCAATTCCTTGTGATCAATTTCCATTAGTTTTTCCATTTTGAAAACTTATTGAAATGAGTTACCTTGAGTAAGAACATCCCAACGGATAGAATATCACTCAGTAATATCAATCAAAATATTGCAAAGACAAATAACAAAGTCTCTTGTGATTACGAAGTTTTTTTTGGCAGTAGCAAACTTTATGACTGTTTGTTATAATATAATTTCATGGTTTCGATATAAGGGTAATTTCATTCATGACAGTGAGACGAACCATTATTATTATTGATAATTAATTTCTATATAAAGCCGTCCAATTTTATCTTAGAAGTAATATATTAAACAATTGAAATACATTAATAAGCATAAAGTTAAAATAAATTCATGTTAGACATTATTGTTACGAGCTTGAGGTTCGTGACAATAAAAATTGCCGATAGAATTACCTAAATTAACACTTTAATTCATTTTACACTAATTAAAGTTAAAAACACTAATAATTAATCACACTGATTCACTTTATTCCGCTTCGCTTGTCTCGCCAACTTCAATACTTCACCGATCGCACCTTGCAGCGCCTATAAATACACATTAGCACCGAAACATCCAGAACATTCAGGTAAATACGCGCACCAATCGACAAGATTGTCGAAAGTTCGAGTGTTGGGCTTCTAGAAGCTTAGTTCTTCTTTTCGATACTAGAAGGCGCTGTCGGTTGAAAGATTAGTGATGTCATTTTCTGGAAAGCTCCCCTCGCTCTCGTCTCTGACA